GGGTGTATTAAGATAATTTGAGGTGTATTAAGATAATTTGAGGTGTACATTATAATCCCTAATCATTTTAGTTTTTTATTAAACATCTCATTTTGTAATGGTAGTGGGAAGTTGAAGGTTTATAGTTCCTTCTAGGATTGTGTTTTTCTTGAATTCTGATTTTTATTAGGCTTCCATTCTGTTACAACTCCCCTTGATCAATTTTTTGTTGTTACTAAAAAGCGTATTTAATAGTTTTCAAAATAAGTTGCTGCTTTTTTCTATTGGAAAATTTTTATCTATTGGTTTGTTGAAAATTAGCATTCAGAGCTTTAAAAATGGTAATGGGATTTTAGATAGCAAGATTTGGGTAACTTTGGAACAGGAACAAATGGCAAGAGAACGTAAAGAATTCTAAGAGTTTCAATAATCTATCTATTAGAACTTGTTTGAAACGTAGTGTTATTTGAATACATTTGTGCTGAACTTATTTAACCTTAGAAGGAAGTTACTGGATATTGTATTTAAGTTGATTTTTTTCATCAAACAGTGGAGTTACTGTAGTTTGATTTTTCTTAACTATGCTTTTAACATACAGATTTAACATCTAAAAGATTTTGTAAAGCATATCTAGCAGATATGCTTTTAGAAAAGATTATTTGATAAATGTTGCTTCTTACATGACTAATGTTTGAGATCAAGGAATACTTTAAAGACCCAGGGGTATTTTTGTAGAAGCTTGGATGAATATACTTTTATTTATATGTACTTAAAAATGCCACAATTGTATCGCTCACATCTATAATTAATATTTCCTTATCCAGAGATATTTCACACTGGCACTGTGAACATTTGTGCAGGAAAAGAATCAGTGGGTGATTAAGTCTTTTGAATTACAGACTGTGGTTGATTTTAGAATGTAGGGTATGGAAAAATTCTTATAAGATAGGAAAAGTCTATATGTTTTAATCAACCAGTATTTATTTATTTATTTATTTATTTAGAGACAGTCTTGCTCTGTCGTCCAAGTTGGAGTGCAGTGGTGCTATCTTGGCTCACTGCAACCTTTGCCTCCCAGGTTCAAGCGATTCTCCTGCCTCAGCCTCCAGAGTAGCTGGGACAACAGGTGTGCGCCTCCATGCCTGGCTAATTTTTGTATTTTTAGTAGAGACAGGGTTTCACTATGTTGGCCAGGCAGGTCTCGAACTCCTGACTTCAAGAGACCTACCCGCCTCGGCCTCCCAAAATGCTGGGATTACAGGCGAGAGCCACCATGCCTGGCCAAATTATTAGTATATTTTCTGAATAGTATTTGTGCTAGATAGCTTCAGAGCCGTATTTTTGTATCTGATAGGATACTTTTATACGAATTTTGGGATGATTTGTTTTTAGCAGTGCCAAACCAATGTTTTATCTTTGTACAGCATTTCTTCCTCAGAAGATGTTTTCCTGAAAGAGTAGTCATTCAGATTTTTAAAATATGTACTGTGTGTCATCACCTTGCTAAGAACATAGAGATGAATATGACATGGTTCTCTCCCTCTGGGAAATCAGTCATATGGGGGAGCTGACAAAGTGTTTAAAATAATTTTATTTAAAAAGTTAAAGTTATTTATTATGATAATTACATGCAAATAATTGTCTACTGTAAATCATCCTAGTTACTCCTCTTTGTCACCATGTTACGGAGACAACTTTTATTTTTTAAGTTACCAGTGACCTTATTTCCAAATTTTATCTGTATGTTTGTTTCTATTCTGGTATCTTTCTCTGTAGCATTCAGCATAGTTGAATGAATCCTCCATCCCTGAGATGATCTTGATTTTCTTCCTGTCTCCACTGGCTGATCTTTCTCTACCTAACCTCTCAATGTTAGAGCGCTCAGGGCTTTGTCTCGACCCCCCTTCCTTTTTTTTTTTTTTTTTTTTTCTTTAAAGACTGGAGTTTCTCTCTTGTTGCCCAGGCTGGAGTGCAGTGGCACGATCTTGGCTCACTGCAACCTCTGCCTCCCAGGTTCAAGCGATTCTTGTGCCTCAGCCTCCCGAGTAGCTGGGACTACAGGCATGCACCACCAAGTCCAGCCCATTTTTGTATTTTTAGTAGAGAAGGGGTTTCACCATGTTGGCCAAGATGTTCTCAATCTCCTGACCTTGTGATCCACCCGCCTCGGTCTCCCAAAGTGCTGGGATTACAGGCATAAGCCACTGTGCCCGGCCGACCCCCTTCTTTTTATCTTCTTTCATCTGTCTTTGGGAATCCAATCCTTTTTCAATAGTATCTGTATGGCGATGATTCCTAAATCTATATTTTCAGCACCAACCAACCATGAGATTTCTCACTCTGTTGCCCAGGCTGGAGTGTAGTGCCATGATCACAGCTCACTGAGGCCTTAACCTCCTGGGCTAAAGCAGTCCTCTCGCCTTGGCCTCCCAAAGTTTGGAATTACAAGCATGAACCACTCTGGATGGCCGAGAACTATCTTTAAAACAATAATCAGGTCACTTGCCTGTGAAAAATCCTCCAGTGGCTTCTTATCATGCCTAAAATAACATCCATATACTTCCTACTTTGGCTAAGTCCCAAATGATCTGGCCCCTACTTCCCTCCCTGACCTCATTTCCTGTCACTCATCCCCTTGTCCACTACTTCACTTCGTTATAGTTAACGGAACTTCTTTTTTTTTTTGGAGACAAAGTCTCGCTCTGTCGCCCAGGCTCGAGTGCAGTGGCACAATCTCGGCTCACTGCAACTTCCACCCCGCAGGTTCAGGCCATTCTCCTGCCTCAGCCTCCAGAGTAGCTGGGACTACAGGCATACGCTGCCATGCCCTGCTAATTTTTTGTAGTTTTTAGTAGAGGTGGAGTTTCACTGTGTTGCCCAGGCTGATCTCAAACTCCTGAGCTCAGGCAATCCGCCTACCTTGGCTTTCTTTTTACTCTTGGAAATACCAAGTTCATCCCCACTTTAGGGCCTACCCCTTTGCCTGGAATGGTTTCCCGCTTTTCACAATTTTAAAATAGTACTGTGTGCCAAAGACTGTTCTCGTTGCTGAGGATAAAGCAGTGAATAAGAGACAAGGGCAGACCCTGAGGCATTTTTGTTATACCTCTTATCTGATGGGTTCCTTGAAGGTGCAGTCTAAAATTCTGTATTCTTTGAAACTACTTCAGCTTGCTCTCAGTAGCTTCCTTTTTTGATGTACAATTTATGTAATTCATTCAATCTCTGCCTTGATGGAGCTTACATTGCGGGCAGGATGGAGGTCACAGTAAACAAGATGGGTAAAATGTGTGTTGGATGGTGGCAAGAGCTAAGGAGAAGCATACAGCAAGCAGCAATGTGCTGAGGAGTGGGGTCGTAATTTTAAATAAGGTGATTAGGGCAGGCCTCTTTGAAGGTGACATTTGAGTAATAAAAATAATCTGTGGCTGGGGCTCGGTGACTTACGCCTGTCATCCCAGCACTTTGGGAGGCCAAGGCGGGTGGATCATGAGGTCAGGAGTTCAAGACCAGTCTGGCCAAGATGGTGAAACTCCATCTCTACTAAAAATACAAAAATACAAAAATTAGCCAGGTGTGGTGGCACATGCCTGTAATCCCAGCAGTTGGGAGGCTGAGGCAGGGAATTGCTTGAACCTGGAAGGCAGAGGTTGCAGTGAGCTGAGATCACGCCATTGCCTGCCAGCCTGGGTGACAGTGAAATTCCGTCTCAAAAAAAAAAAACAAAACTATTCCAAATAAAAAAAGCAACAAGTACAAAAGCCATGAAATGAAAGTATGCAGTGTATGTTTGGGGAATAGTTAGGGATTCAGTGCTGGGGAAAGCGACGTGAGCAAGGGGAGGAAGAGTTGCAGGAGATGAGACCAGAAGTAAGAGTAGAGCCAGATCTTGCTAGACTTTGTTGGCTAGCGGCTTTCAGCATTCGTGCACGTTGGAACTACATGAGGAGCTTTAAAAAATACTCATGGATGGGTCTCACTTGCAGAGATTAATTTAATTGATCTGGAGGTGCAGCTGGGACATTCGGATTTTATAAAAGCTCCCCCACGTGATTCTAAGATGCTGTTAAGGTGGAAAAACACTGTAGACCATTATTGGGACTTCGGCTTTTACTTTTGAGGAGGTTTGGAAGTCATTGGATGGTTTTGTCATGGAATAATTTTGTAATTAACTTTAAAACTGGGGTTTTGTTTATGCTTTTATTTAACTATAAAACTGACTCCAATTGTTTGAATTGGTTTGTGATATAACTCAGATTTGTCTCAGTATAAAAAGATACACTTTTCACAGTTTGGCCAAGGATTATCTATTTTATTTTCTATACTATTAGTTGCCTTTCAGTTTGCACAGTTCACATTTGTCTCCTCTTTCCATCTGTTTCTGCTTATCATCTTTAGCGTCCTTCCTTTTCCTATATCTAACTGTCTACATTTCTTTAAATTCTGGACTTCAGTTTAATTAATAGAACTTGAAATACAGCATTGTATAAAAAGATTTTAACCAAAACATTTGCATTTGTCTTATCTGAGCTGTCTTAATCCGGTGACTGACAAAGCAAAGTTGCGTGAAATTAACATTTTTTTCCTTCTTGTAATTTAAAACTTGGTTCCTGTATACCTTCCTGGAACTTTATACTTTTATATCTTTTCTACCATTTCTGTAAAACCTCAACTGCAGGGTGCAATAATGGACCTTATTTTCTATATTTCAGCAGGACAGCTGCTGAAAGTGGGTTTAAACTCACTGGCATTATATCCCACACAAAAAGTACTACTTTTTGACATGTTTAGAAAAAAGTCTGCCTTTAATTTCTTTGTAATTTACCTCTAATTTGTTGAGTTACATGTAAGTAACTTTTTTTTTCCCCCCTGTCTTTTGCTGTGTTTCAATGGATTTGCCTCTCCTGTTTGGACCGAATATGTCATTACAATTCTTGGAATTCTTTGTTTACTGTGCCTCTGTGGATTTCTTCTGTTGGAATCTGGAACACTGGAATGATGGAAATGTGTTCTTTACAAAGTAGCTGTGAGTATACTACATAATTTATACAGAGATTTTTTTCAGTCTCAGTTAAATTTAACTTACAGTTGGATGAAATATGAGCCAAGGAAACCTTAGGTTTAATACATATTTCTAACTCCACTCATAGCAGACTTTCAGATATTTGACTTAAAGATATTAGATTCTGATTAGTCTCTTAATTATTATGTTTACAGTTAGCTCTTCATTTTAATGGGCTTAGTTTTTAAAATTTGGCTTAAGAATTAGTTTTATTAAATAAAAGCCAAATATTATGGATGGAATGTTTATCTACATGACTAGTAAACATTGTAGACTTCTGTTCTTTGTTAAATCCAAATGTATTGCATTGATGTTTTGATCTCATGAGTGCTTTTTAAATGAGAATTAAACGTGGCAGAAACTTTTAAGAGAATGTGTGCCTCTTTTTGCTATTGTTTTTTATGTTGAGATAAGACTACCTCCAAAGTAAAATTAACCAATAAGACTCTGCTTATTCAGATAGTCTTAACTATGGACAGTATTTCTCACATGTGGGTAAGTTAGAAGTCAGAGTTATTTACTACACCAATTTGGAAGTAGATTTCTTTGAATTACTCATGAAACTATTGTTGAGGTCATCTAGGAATAAAAAACCAATAGAAAAAATGAAGTTATAATTTACTTTAAAACTTGGATAAACCTGAAGATAAAGGCAGCAGGATCATGTGAAACCTTGAAGTGACAAAATTGGACCTGGCATAACAGCGTGAATGATACTGTAGCTGGTTGGCACTGATCACAAGAGCCTTCAAGAATTTATTTTTAAAAATTGCTTTAAATTCAACACTTTGATTTCATTTCATGAATAAGAAGACAAATTTCAAGAATCTCATACCTGTGGTAATTAGTGTGATCAAAGGAGATAATTAAAAAGGATTCTTAATATTGTATGAAGGGGATTTGAATTTTTTGGTTGTGAAAAATCCTGTGTTATTTTGCTTTTTTAGTTGGTTGGTCAGTCATCTTGTTACTAACTGCTGTCAATTAAAATCTTTGCTCTGAGGCAGGTTTTCTAAATTTTTATTTCATTCCCTTGGATTTTTGTAATTAACCATTATATTGTCAATCAACTCATGCTCAAATAATTTTGTCCATTTAAGAATTGATAGTTTTATTGATAATGCCATGGAATTAGTTTGATTTGCTGTGAATAATAGTATAATTTTCTAAAATAGGTTCATGAAGGGAATTTGAAATGTGTGACAGAATAGTATTGTTGATACATGAATAACTTGGCCCTTTTTGCTTTTGTCAGCAACAGAAGAACCTTGAAGGCTATGTGGGATTTGCCAATCTCCCAAATCAAGTATACAGAAAATCAGTGAAGAGAGGTTTTGAATTCACGCTTATGGTAGTGGGTAAGATATGATTCCTTATTAAAATGGAACTTTGGTTTAAGTTTTAAACCGTTAGTCAACTCTGAATGAATTTAAGAAAATACTAGCACAGATATCTATAGTGAGCATATCTTTGTTATATTTTCTCTTAGGTGCATACATTTTAAAATTTAACTCGGTGGCATAATGGGATTTATGTCGTCTTGCCTCTTTTTTAAAGGTAGAAACTAAAAGTTGAGAAATGGTGGGTGATAGTGTTGGAGTGAAACTCTAGAGAAGTTATCTTCAATTGGTAGTGCTACAAAAGAAAATAGCATCTGGTGGTTATTACTCCCTGATAGTTTTGTTTTCTGGTTTATGTGCTATAGTGGAGTATCATGTAAGCATTTAACTTAATGTGCTCTGAATTTTGAAAAGTAAGGTAGGATAGAGGATCATAATAATGTAGTTGATTACCCTTGGAATTCGTTAATTGAATGTAAGCACTGGAATGAGTAAAATATGACTCTCCTCATCCTCTAATTCAGTTTCAGTTTTCTTTTGTGTTTCATTCCATGAACCACCTTACCCTGCCTGTATAGTCCATTTGAAAATACTGTTCAGGATAATTTTGACTGTAGGTTGGTAACATCATTATTATATATGAAGAAACATACTGTGCCTTTCCCATCTGTAAGATTAGTCATCTTCAATGACAATCTTATTCTTTTTTTTTTTTTTTTTAAATGACTACACAGTATTTTCACCTCATATAGGCTGACTTTAGAACCCAAGTTATGAATATTGTATAGTGTAACTTTGTTGTATTTCTCTTATTTGTTTTAAGAAGGTGAATTGCAGGTTAGTGGATTAGCTATCCTTAACAAAGAAAATTGAGTTGATGCTAGACTTTTTAGGTAGTATACACTTTTGTTAATTATATTTCAACTCTAATATTTTGATGCTGAATTAGGTTAATTGAACTAGCTGTGAAATACTCCTTTATTGGGAGGTAGAATATTTTATGTACTGACCGCAATATTTTACCTGTTGGTCAGTTTTTGGCTCTTTGGAAGTTGTATACATTGTAAGAGTTCACAGTTAAAACATGGTACAAAATTTGCAAATTTGATACTTTATAGCATTGGTTACCTTGTCTATGTATCTCCTGTTGAGTAGAAGTGTAATATATCTAGCTTGCAAACTGCTGCTGTGGAATAGAGGTTGGTCTAGATAGAGGGATAAAATAATGCAGCGCATACCTTTTCTTCAGCAGGTTGGTAACATCATCATTATATGAGAAACACTGTCTCTTACCTCTACATGTGTAATATTAATAATCTTAAGTGACAAACTGTAGACAAATAGAATTTTTTCACTTATGAGAAAACCTCCTAGGTCCATTAGGAGAACTGTAACAATTTAAAAATTTTTCCTTTGACATTAGAATTTTAGTTTAAAGAATAACTTTTCTAATCATACTTAGTAGGATAATGTCTGGTGATCAAGGCATTTAAAATCTAAAATCTCTGTGGCATTTTTCCAAATGAAAAAAATCAAATAGTCATCTGATGTTGATTTTTAGAGGAGATATTCAGTCTCTAGATGTATATTACTTATTAGCTTTTCTAATTAATCCCTTTGTGATTGCAGCTTTTCTTTTTTCTCTTCCTAATGATAAGACGTCAACTGAGGCCAAAAAAAAAATAGGTGTTAATATCCTTATTTTCAAGTGTTAATATCTTTACTCTGTTTTCCCACTGAGCCTTGAACATTGTTTAATTAACTACATTTGAATAGATATGTTGAGTGCAGGTATTAAATATTTTCATCTATATAGGTGTAGTGCCTAATACGTAGTCACTTACTAAGTATCTAATCACTTAGTATCTAATATGTTGATTTATTTTTCACATTTTAGGCTGACTCTAACGGCATCATTTGCAAATCATAGAAAGCTAAAACCAACCTTGCTTTAATATTCTTGACTTAAAAACTTTCAGCTATTCCTTATGAGCTAAATCCTCATTTTTGGGATCTAAACTCAGAATAAATTTGGCTCCCACATTACAACTCTTCGTTTACAACTTACACATTGATATCAACTGAGAATCTGTAACAGATTTTTTTATTGAACTCTTTGTACTTTGTCGGAAAACCTTTAATAATCTTGCTTCATAAGCAATGTTTATTGAGTTCTTGCTTGAGTGACTTATTTGTATCAAAGAAGCATGCTGTGTATTCCCATATTTTCTCTCTTAAAGGAGCTTCTGATTTATATGACAAGATAAACCACATAAAAATGGGGTCAGTAGAATCATACAAAAGTTTAAGGGTATAGAGCCATAGAAATTTAAGGGTATAGGAGAGTTTGCCTTGGTTGGAGATTATTATTGCCTTCTTTTGAAAAGGGAGGCATTAGGACAAATTTTTGAAGGATAGAATTGGGGCCAAGATTGAGGAAGCAGTCCTGTTGGGGGAAATAATAGCCATCATTTACATAACTTTTTTACGTGTGAGGCAATGTTTTAAGTACTTTATGGACATTATCTACTAACTCACAATTCTTAGAACAGCCCTATGAAGTAGATATTGTTATCCCATTTTGGAGATGAAGAAACTGAGGCATAGAGAGATTAGGTTACTTGCCCATGGTTACATTGCTAGCAGATGGCAGAACCAAACCCATTCTACTGCTCAGTTAGTCTGGTGTGTTCTTAACCACCATGCAGTGGCTTATCTGGGGATACTGGGTATAGTGCAGTGTTTATAAGAGTACATCCAGTATGCCTTGAACTGAGATGAATTCAGTGAAAGAGAGGATGAATGAGAATGAGAACTAGAGAACTTAAATAGTACAAGTAATTTTTCCTGTTATTCCACTAGAATGAGCGTCTGGCCTAGAGTGGGTGTGAAATGGGGGAGGTGCATTTGCTATTTTCCTAGTCATTATCAGCTTCCACATAGTTTGATAGTGTGAACTTCTCAGTTTGCTGAATGTTATAGTCTAGTGACAACAGGGCACCTAAATACAAATCGGTCACTTTTTATGTGCTCAAAGAAAGTTACCTATTTTAGTGGAGGAGGAAGATAGGTTGTTAGCTTATATGTAATTGTGCTTTATGGATGATATAAGGAATTTTTCAAGATTTTTTTCACAGCACACTGACTTTAGGATCTGACCCCTAAGATGTAACTTTATAATTAGAAATAAAGCTGGAAAGGTAGACTAGCCAGGATTTTGGAAACCCTGATTGGCAATTTGATGGGGAGATTAGAATTCTTGATTTTGAATCTTGAAAAATTTAGGCATATCAAATAATGAAGACATGTAGATCTCTATTCATTGAAGTTGTCTAACCTGTTTGGCTTAGAACTTGACTGTCATTAGTGTGCTCCCTAATTAGACTTAACTGTGATAGAGAATAAATTTTTAATTGTAATATCCTGTTTTTGCTAGAATTCTTCAAGGAGGCAGAACTCAGAAGACTGTAGTTTGCTTTATTTAACTTGAAATAGTTTTTAAAACAGGTGGTATTAAACCTATTATTCTGAATCCTAGGAAGATAGAATCCAAAATTCAGTCATTTCTGTAATCTTGAACTTTGCAAAATTTTTGTGATTACAGAATTTTAAAAATTTAATGATATGTCAATAATGTGTTTGACCTATGCTCTATGTGTTTTAGTGGCAGGTTGGCATTTCCATTTTTTTTTTCCAGCGGGAGAGAGCTTAGAACATGTTGGCTTAGCCATTTTTTGGGATTCAGAGTTTATCATAATTTTTTTCTTTGTATATGCCTTATCAGAGAAAGTTTACGAGTTATTTAGTTAGCGATAGGATATACAATGACTATCCTAGTTGTCATTTTCCTCCACTACCTGTTGATGTTTGAGTTGACAGAATAACATTTATATCAGTTTATCAGTTATTTGAAAAAATGGAAAGATAATATTGACTCAAAATTTTGTATCTAGGCTGTTGAGTATTTTGTGGTATTTTTAAGATATGTTAGCTCCTTGAAATGCTTTGAGTTATGATTTTAAGGTTTTTCCTTGAGCTCCGTATTTTTATTTTGCTTTTATTAATAGAAGTAACTTAACCGATAATGACTTCACAACATTGAGAATATCCTAAAATCCATTGATTTATACACTTTAAAATGGTGAATTTTATCTTAGAAAAAGTAATTCAAAGAGAAAGTTTAGAAGAAAAAAAATCACGTAATTCCACATGTCCACTATTTTAATTTTGTACATTCCTTCTAGCTGGTAAATCTGAATATTTTTAAAGCACTTAAAAATGAAGTTAATATATTTCATTGCAGAAATTGGAAAATGCAGAAGAGCAAAATGAAAATAAATATTGTCATCTGTCATCTATTGATCATAACTCTTAAGTATAGGAACATTTAGTATTCTTATGTGTATCTGTAATGTTCTATGATTGCCTTTTAAATGTGCAGTTAAATTGTGATTATCTTGTGATATCTTAACGTTCTTTCATAACCTATCTATTGGTCAAATTGTAGACTTTAATGGCCTGTACAGGTTGGCTATATCATTCTTGGTTGTATTGTCAGGATAGTTAAAATTGTTAGCTAGTATTAATACTATAATAACATGGTTATAGTTATACTTTTGCTTGAATTTTTAGTTATTTTCTTAGAATAATAAAGCTTTGGAAGTTTGAATTGCTGTGTTAAGATTGATACATTGTTTTAAGGGTTTTGATACATAATACCAAATTGCTCTAAAACAGGTTGTGTACCATTTTGCATGCTCATCAAGTGTTGACAGCACCGTTTTCCCTGAATACTGCCAACACTGGATATTAATCTGATTCCTGAAACGTGGTATCTTATTTTCATCTGTATTTTATTGTTGCTAGTTATTTGATTTATTTATTTTTCGAGATGGAGTCTTGCTCTGTTGTCCAGGCTGGAGTGTGGTGGTGCAATCTCAGCTTACTGCAACCTCCACCTCCCAGGTTCAGGCAGTTTTCCTGCTTCAGCCTCCCTGGGACTACAGGTGTGCACCACC